CGATATCTATATTCCTATATATAGACAAGCGTATATGTTCAAATACGTACATACAAACAATATACGCACACATAGGTTTTCATGTGTCAAGTCTTGAAAAGGCATACACACATCGCAAAGCACAGAATATACGCGTAGAAAATGCGGACGATACATCGAATTCAACGAGAAAGTCACAGGTATAAATCAAACGGGGAAAATTGAAAGAGGTAAAATTTAATCAAATAGAGGATATCAGTGGCATGGCAAAATGCCTGATAAAAGACACATGTATGACGAGACAATGTTCGCTAGACGCAAGGATACATACTACAGTACAAGGTAGACAAAATCATTATAAGATATCGACTAGGTTTCTCGATGAATTTCCTTTTAAACTAGCACTAGTATGAGCGAAGAGACAATGTAAATGTGTGTGTGAGAAATCTATTCCTTTTCTGCCCCATACCCACCCTCTCGAGCCTCCGCGCCATTCTTTTTCTCCCTCTGTACGACGAGTGTAAAAATATCATGTAATTAACACACCGATAATATATATAAATATATATAAATAAATATATATATATATATATATATAGATAAAAATATATATATATATACGCATACGCGCACATAAACGCGTTATACGCGCACGAGCGCCGCGTGCGTGTGCTCGTCGTATACGCGCGTTATGGCAAGATGATTGATTGTGAGTCATTTAAATAATTGTTATATGTATTTTCTATATATTATGATAAAACTAATACAATGATATATATATTGAGATGACATTACGGTACTATTAACTATTAAGTGTAGTTAATTTAGAGACTATTCGGGGATATATTATATCCGCGCCATGCAAAGCCGACATCTCGGTGAAGAGTTGGATCGCTCTATATAATCCAACACTTTCTACAACACACTTTCCGCACATACTAAGAGAAAGAAAGAAAGAATTGCGTGCGTGAGGCACAGGCGAAACAAGCGAGACACTCGAGACGGCACCCTCGCATCCTCTCCGACAAAACTCCCCTTTTTTCAAAATATAAAAAAAAAATATATATGAGATGAAAGATCAGACGAGCAGATGAGAAAAGATAAGAAAGAATAATAATGCGACGCGGTTAAACGTGTGTGGTGTCATCTCGTGTGTTTGTATGGTCAAAAAGTTGACACTCGAAAAAAGAAAAAAATGTACACATACACACACGCACGCATCATAAACATACACACACACACACACACACACACACACACACACACACACACACACACACACACACACACACACACACACACACACACACACACACACACACACACACACACACACACACACACACACACACACACACACACACACACACACACACACACACACACACACACACACACACACACACACACACACACACACACACACACACACACACACACACACACACACACACAAATATAAAATTTTTTATGCGAAATGATTTTAAATACGAATAATAGTTTTTATAATGCAGCATAATGATGATTATCTGCAAAATATGTAAATATAAAGGCGACCCTGGACTTAATTAAAATGTTAACAAATAGGAAAAATCACGGAAATAACGAAGCCATTTTTGTGACATTTTCTTCAAAATGATATTAAAAACATAAGAAAAGAAAGAGAGAGGGAAAAATTGTCCATTATATATATATATGAATTGTAAAAAGAAAAATTCAAAAAATAGAAATGTTTTCCAAGTATAGGGAAAAAGATATACGGCAAGTGAATAGGATCGGAGAATGAATGATACTTCAGAGTAATAACTCGCTCATCAATTTCTCTTTTATTTATTTCAATCTACTCTATTAGTAGATAGCAATTACTCTTATATCCAACAATAATGCCTTTTCTCAAATAAATGTCCAAATTTAATCCAATTCACTCGCTGTCGCTGTTACAAAAACTATTTCACACGTTAAAATATCAATGCCAAAAACCACAAAGATAATCTTTCTCTCTCTCTTCC